CCCGGACGTGCAGTCACTCCACCTCACTGCCTGGAGGATAGTCCCACGGTAGCTCACGTCCTCGCCCATTGTCGTAAATCGTCTACTGATAACCTGTACGAGAGCAAGTGGAAGGCCTTTCTGAAGTTCACCACTTCTCGTCGGCTACCCGCGTCACCTACGACGCTCCATGCTGTTCTGCAGTTTCTGGCTTACCTTTTCCAAATGAACCTTTCTCATTCAACTTTGAAGGTTTATCTCTCCACCATCATAGCCCATCAACCACTTGAGGCGGATAGTGCTCTTCTATTCAGACATGCGAAGATAAAACGTTTTCTCTGAGGGGTTGTACGCCTTCGTCCACCTACAATCAATCCAATCCCACAATGGTCCCTCCATACGGTTCTAAACTGTCTCACGAAGCCGCCATTTGAACCATTGGCTACGGTTTCGGAACGCCTCCTCACCCTCAAGGTGGTGTTCTTGGTCGCTATTACATCGGCCAGAAGGGCCTCAGAATTGGCTGCCCTGAGGACCGACCCACCTTTCTTACAATTCTTCCGAGACAAAGTGGTCTTGTACCCTGACGTGTCCTTTTTACCTAAAGTCACCACGGACTTTCATGTTAAACAACCTATAATCCTACTAACTTTTTTTCCCCAACCTTCTTCTCCAGTTGAGAAATCCCTTCATCTACTCGACGTCCGTCGGGCGTTGGCCTTTTATGTTCAGAGGACTTCCTCATTTCGCCTCTCCAAGCGCCTGTTTGTCTCTCATCAGCAACCTCACAGAGGTCGAGAGGTATCTCCACAAACTGTGTCCAGATGGATAGTTCAGGTCATCCGCCTGGCCTGTGAACTGGCTAAGAAGCCTCTTCCGGCGTCTGTTAAAGCCCATTCTACTAGGGCTGTTGCGGCCTCCACAGCCTTTCTCCGTGGAGTCCCTTTGCAGGATGTCTGTAAAGCCGCCACGTGGTCCACGCCTTCCACGTTTGCATTTCACTACAGACTCGACCTGCGAGCCAAGGAAGATGCGAGGTTTGGTCGGGCTGTCCTGTCGGCGGTGCTGCCATGACGTTTCCCTCCTCCTTTCAGAGGTAAGCTTGCTAGTCACCCATTAGTGTGATTTCACAGAGACCACGAAGAAGAAAAAGAGGTTACTTACCTGTACCTTTGGTTCTTCGAGTGGTTCTGTGTCAATTCACACGGCCCGCCCGTCCTCCCCACTTTCCGTCACGGCTGTCTCGCCTTTAGAGCAGCAGCGGAATTTGGGGAACTGAATGGCTGTTAGGGCGGGCGGACCATGAGGTCCTGG